GACCGAGTTGTGAGGAAGTTAGTGTCTCTTGCTAGCGAGAACACATTTCATGTACCGCCGGCAATGAGTTACAAAAAGCCTGCTTCTTGATTGACTGTTTTCGTCCCAAGAAAACTGAGCCGACAGGCCTAATGGCACAGGTGAAGCGCGGTGAAGTGTAAAATAGATGAAAACAACATCATGGAAACGGATCCATCCGCACTTTTACGGATGGTATCCGGCTGAACTATTAGAATAGAATAAAAATCGTACCAAAACAATAATGGAGTAGATCCAAACAGGAATGGAAACAATGACAACATATTGAAATGGCTGGAAGAAGTGATGCCTGAAAGCCAAATTTCAAAACATTATATGAAGTAATGTTAATAATCTTCTCTCAACAAATGGGTGACCACATTGTGAGGAACATAAGGGGGAGGGGGGACAAAAAAGACACTTTTTCTCGACTTCCAAAATACGTTACACTTTATTAAAATCTGTTGAGCATTTCCACCATAAATTCAACGACACATTGCACACGATGCGCCACAGCCTTTGGACGAATGCTGTGCGTGGGTTCAGCGAGGTCGTTGATTTCTCCGCCACTGTAGACCACCCTGTTGAGCTCCTCCCGGACCCGGTAATCGAGGGGTTTAGGTCAGGTGACACACTTGGATATTCCGTCTTCTTCAGGTACTCAACGCCCTTCGATTCCAAGTAGGCGAGAGTTTTCGATTCCATGTGCTGGCACGCAATGCTGTAGCAGTTTCCACGACGGTACAGGTAACGGCATGAAGGCAGGATACACTCCTCGAGCTGTTCGATGTAACAGTCAGCGTTCACTTTCAGTCCGGGGTCCACGAAGAAAATATTGGTCTTCCCATTCCAGGAACTTCCGGTCCATACCATCAACCCGCGCCTTGGCGACTGCAGAGAAGATGATATCCTGGACCATAGCGACGTTGTCGGAGCTGCTCGATGTTGGAGGTCTCCAGATCAAGAGTGCCGGTCCCCAGGTAGCTGTCCATGGGTGGCCTTCTCCAGTCCGGTGCGACTGGAGATGACTTCATATTTTGGTGTACATGAAGGTGATGGACGAGAGCCTGCTCCTGCTTATCGAGGAACATCTTGGGTATCTTCCGCCCTGGTACTCGTATCCACGTCTTCTCTCTGGGCTGCGTATTCTTTACTGATATGTGCCTCGGGCGAAGTGTCTTTTTTTCGCCCCTCCTCTCTATGTGGAGACTTGTTCGCTGCGGATGATAGGGCGTGTCAGATGGGATGAGCTTAGCATGGCGCCAGACCGTTCTGATGCAGAATCATATTAGGTAGGAAAGAAATACTACCTGAGTGGAACGAGAACGGCAGCCAAAAGGTCGCCGACAATGACCACATACATGATCGCTTGGGCGCTTATTGCAAAGATATACGGAAGGATAAGTCGGAAGCATTCGTCTTGCCGTGGAAGCTGGTGATTGATACTGAAAGCAACATTGGCAATGGAAGTACCATAGTTGACTGGGAACATTTTTGGGGTCACCTGTACGAGAGATTCACCCATTGAGACGAAATGCAAACGAGATGGTAGCCAGCAAGATTGGCCAGTAATAAGCCTGAAATTAAGGTCAAATTACATCTATTATTAGAGGCGAACGACTTTCTATCGATACCATGTTTCTTTTGCAATTGTGGTTTACGAAAGGTTGCCCATATGATGTTCAGATTGCCGAAGAGGCCCAGCACACAAAATACGACAATGATGAAACTGATCGAATAGAAATAGACCATGTCAGGAGAGTCTGAAACGAACGCGGTCTGCTGAGTCAAAACACGCAACGGTCAATTCACATGTGGATAGCGTGAACATAAAATATTAGTTCCTATTCCATCTCGAATGAAAAAAATACTTGGCACTATTTGACTATGTGTAATACGCCGACGTCCTTGAAAATTTGAAAATTTATATCGGTTAATAAGTCTGACCGTAAGTAATCGATGCCTTGCACGGGGATATCTCAATAGTCTCGAGACGCTAGGCGCATTTGGCGCCACCAACATTCCACATAATCTCGACGTAAGCTTGCATAATGAGGCTATTTGGTGTCTTCATAACGATATTGCATTAGTTTGGCACGAAAGCGCTAACCGCCCGCGTTACAGGCGTCGGCACCATACGCTTGTTTTTACCACCTGCGCGTCTGCTGGCTGTTTCGTGGCAAGCAGTATGCTAGAGCATAAAGGATTGAGTCGTTGCCTTTATCAGTCCCTTTGTGGGATGCGGCACGCGTACTACTTCCATTTAGAACCGTAGTGGCTTATTGAATGCGATGTGGCCTATTCAATGACTGGAGTCGATCCGGGATTCCAACCCGGGACCGCGCGAGTTGTAAGCTGCTATTGGTCACTGACACGCCACCATCTGCCTCTCTGGCTGCAGAGGCATACAAGAGAAACACGGGACAGCGAAATAGTATCCCTTCCTGAATTGCTGCCTTAGCTTCATCTGACCTCAGCACAGAATGCGATACTTTGTTAGGTTCTCAACACTAGGGGCGGGATTTAGTGATTTTAGAGTATTCTGGCGTGTGCTCCTCTTGATTTCGGTCCGATCGTATGAAGCTACGCGTATTCGAGCTGACCATGAGCTATCGCTCATTGAACCACATTTCAAAGCTGAGATCGCGCTCGAGGAAAAAAAGCGGCAGAAAGCTGGCCCGAGTTGAATAGTGCAGATAAAAGTTGAAACCAATGTGAAAAAATGTCAAAAAAAGTCAAAAATATTGCAAAAAGGTATATGGCAGTGATAGAGGCTCGAACATCTCGATCTTTAAGACAGAGTTGACGTCATGGCTTCAGAGGCGTTATATAGACTTTGAACTTCCTTCCTCAGATGTGAGCGAACGGAAGTCGGCTTCCACCGTTAATGAGGAAGTGGACCCGTTTAGCATGATGTATACAGCCGTCATCCTGGTATTATCGTCTCGGAGAGAAATCCCAGCTTTGAAAGAGAAAAAAAAGTATAAAGGAAAATGTTCGCTGATCTTCACACCCTAGGTTTTGCTTCTCAATCCTCCTGGAAACCTTAGGCAGTGTGCGAACCCTTAAGTATTATGGGATTAGTCATAGTCCACGAGAAGATTCTTTGAGAGGATGACGGATTAAAGTACATCGCCTAGTAAAGGCCAGGGGAAGACGAAAAAGAAATGAGAAATCCAATTAAGATGGTAATCATTTTGCAGAAAGCAATCGATTGAATGTAATCTTCCTTTGTTCTAAGGGCACGTTTCACTTTTATAGCGGCTTTTATGCATCCCATAAAGAGTCAGGCGTCAGGAAATGACATTAAGGCCATGTGTGAGGAAAGTAATTCTCATTTCGTAGTATTGCTACGGAGGCGCAAAGATGGATTGGTGTAGTGTCATCAGTATGTAGACTGTACTTGAACTTTTCGTTTAGAAACGTGATAATAGAGGTGGTGCAATTTCAGTATAGGAACATCACTTTGCGGAGGAACTCCTGGCCTCTGAGGAAGGAGACCATGTAGAAACGTTGAGGCATTGAGTAAATCGTTCTATATGAAACCCTCGAGAGGCCTGAAATTTTAAGAAGTTCCACTCATTGCACTTTCGCTTAAAATGGAGTTGGGAGTTGACTTTCGAAGGCGGTTCGGCCGACGGAACAACGGGAGAGGGTGAGGCAATATTTGAGTCAGTGTTTTTTTTCAATAGAGAGTGTTGTACGAGTTCGCCTGGTAAGCGGCGCTACTCACCAACAAGGCATTTCTACGTGGCGGCGCCACCCAAAAGGGGGATGATCAGCGCCAAATTTTCCACCGTTTCTAATCTTTTGGGAAGCCGAAAGGTTGTTTTCTCTGTGGAAACGATGGCCAACCCAATAATGGGGAAGCGATCATGTAATGAGAAAATGTTGCGCGAATCTCTTTAATAATTGAACAAAAGGTCCGATCTGGTTGCAGCTGCGAAACTGGAGACAAAGATCTGAAATCGTCGGGTTCATTGGCGGAGAGCACCTGAAATTATGCGGGCATTTCTATTTATGCACTTATAACGCTTTCTTTTGTCAATTTTTTTGTATTCATTAATAACTGATGGGTATCTACTATTTTGGAGGGGAAAGATATGGGAGTGTGAATTTGAATCTTTTTTTGGAAATTATTTTGCATGATAGACGTGGAGTTTTCAGCTTATTGTGATTCATATATGCTGCCTTCCTTTAGGCGTCATGAAGAGTCAGCCCCACAAACTCTACACTCTAGTTCGCTGCGGACGGTCAGGCAGTATGAGTGTGTCACCCCGTCAAAGCCGTTCTCTGCCTTCTTGTTGAAGCGCGCATGCGACAAAAAGTGGTAGAAAACGAGTAATACGAACGATATGATAGTCATATCATTTGCTCGCTTTAACAACTGGTGGAGAACGGGTTTGGCACCGCGCCAAACTCATTTCCTGACACGCCCAACCGTCCGCAGCGAACTATACTAACGCTTCAACATGGCGTGAGGGTAAAACAACTAAAACAACGACTAACGGACGTTAGAGCTTAAATCTACGCCTATTTGCCATACCTACAGTATACGCTCAAAACAGCAACAGATATGGACCTCATTTCCTTGAACATGAGGAAACTCCCGACAGGACGTCGACTAGTGTAGTTCGGGAGGAAGCTACATGAATTCCAGGGTCAGCGGAGAAACAGGCTAGCCAGAGACCAAGTGATTATATTTACTCCGTCAAAAATCTTATCATAAGGCTATGTGGAAGCTATGAAGACTAGTACACCGGATGAGTGACCACCGTGCAATCAGGTAGCGGAGTGCCCACTGTACCGAGAATTAGTCTACGAAAGTGGGAACAGTATCTCACTGGAAACACTTCGGCGTTGGCGGTGTGGTATGCTTGGCCAAACCATGCGACTTGAACAATGGACATGGATTGTGTACCCATTGGAAAGACTGCTAACTCGGTATTGGCAATATTTCGTATGCCTAGGTCATCTCGGTGATTTCAACGATAAAATACGGACCGAGAGAGAAGGATCGCCTGTTCGCGAGGCGAGTCACATCGGAGCTCACGGAGATGAAGTGAAATGAGAGTATGAGAGAATTAATCATGCCGACAACACTATAAACATATGGTGACTCGCATCGCTTCTGAAGCCTACTCTTACGGATGAAGTGTGAGAACTCATTTGAAAGCCGTAAAGAGCAATAGTCTTCAATTCAAAAGTTCTTGCTGAAAAGCTCGCTGTTCCTAGATCTATCACGGGATTGGGCTGCGGCCCCCTTCGCCCAGATCAACTGCGAAGAGAGAGAGAGACGGAGAGAGGGATAGAAGAGAGAGATAGAGAGAGAGAAAGAGCAAAGTCCAAGAAGCAGTGCCCAGAGACTGGATATGAGCGGCTTGCGAACATACTTATAACTAGCAGAAGTCTGTAGGTCTATGTGCGCTGGGAAGCTACCGACTGATTGGGCAGCGGGTCGCTGAGTGTTGGCTCCTGGTCCTAACAGTATTCATTCGTAAGACCCTTGTCATGAAGGGAATCGTAGCAGGTAGTGAAGGTGGAGAGCTGGCGTGAGCGGCAGGAGCGATCTTAGCTAACGGATGAACTTTGGAAGGATAAGCGCGTTAGCCGTTCATCTCGAGTTTCCAAATTCATGCAGAAGAAATCGATAAGAGTCAATTAAAGAAGAAAGGTGGATGAATCGAGAGCAGAATCACGGTAAGAAAAATGAGAGAATCAAAGTGAGGAATAAGAATAGACTCATTAATTGAAGATCTCGTATTCGCTTTGGATGGTAGGAAAGCATAGTATAGCAATTTGTGGTAACGGAAGCATAAGGATCACGTGAGAACAATTGGGAGAAGAGGAGAAAGAAAGTGTGAAGAGGTCTTGTTAAATTGGAGATGGATTAGGATGAAGGAAAACGTCGATCATGTATAGTACTGCCTTAGATAGAGTATTCTCTTAGATTCTCATGCTCTACTATTTGAGTGCATAGGCGATTGACAAAGGTGAACCGCGGGCCGAGCACTGCGTTGGAAGAAACGTGGCCGATATTTCGGATCCTAGTGCACTCTATACACGCTCCGAGGCGGAATAGGCGTGAATTTGAAGATGGCATAGAATGGATTTTTCATGGGATAATCTCACTTCGAGGCAAAACTGGTCATATTGTTCTGTGTTGGACAAGAATGATTCAATTGTCTCAATATAAATATCACTGCGGATTCGTTGGTCGCGCCAGCGTTTGACTGTAGCACGTTCAAGCCACGCGTACCATTCGAGGATTTCGAGTGGAAGTACTCGCGAATTCAAATATTTCACGGAATCCTTGCCGCCAGCCACAAGTTTGATTCAGGTAGGTGCAGCACGCGGTACAGCAATCGTCGAGGCTTTTTGAAGGTGATGTTCGCTATTTGCGCGTACACTTCTCTATTGTCTGGTGAATGGAATGTGGGTGTATTTCCTATCAAGTACAATGAAAAGATTAGAAAAAAATATTGATAGTATGCCTCGAAGACAAGCATAAAATATTTTGGCGAGCAGAATAAGAGCTTATCCGAGAGGTCAACAAAGTTGTAGGGGCACGAGTACAAGAATTGCATCGGCACTCCGAAGAAGAAATTCCATGAAGAATAAGATAAGGGCATTTGCTCTTACCTCGGATATAAACTGAGGCTTACGACGAACCCCTTCTAACATCAATCAATAACCTAAAAGAAATGTGACGTAAAAAGCGTACAAAGTACCTGGGGCGTGCGTGATGTCAC